CCCCACCAAACATCTAGGTGACTGTAGATGAACCTTTCAGTGCTTCCAAAAGTGAGTGTGGGCCCTTGTTTTCTGCATGAAAGAGACCTGTGGATGATCCAGCTCTGCTGGATTTTGGTGAATACATGTTGATTGTGTTGGTTATTCCAATAATCTGTGGTGTGGCGACTGCTGTAAGAAAAAGTTAAGAAAAATTCTGCCAGGTATAATAAAAGTTCAGCTGGTCCTGACTAACAAAATGAAATATTTCAAGCTTACTTACAGACTTTTTTTCCCACTTGGTAGTTCTATGGCATATTCTGTTCTTTATGTGTTTTCATATGCATACATTTTCACATGCATACATGTACATTCATGGGAATAACTGAGTGCTACAGGTTGATAATGTAGAAGAGAAGAAAATTTCTACTTACAGAAATCTGCAGAGAATAATACAGATCTGACCTGTGCTGCAGGAACTGATGGTTGTTCAACTTCTATAAGGAATTCACGATTTCTCCCAAAGAAATATTTTAATGCAAATCAAAATGGTCTTTAGGGCTAAGGATACATGAACTGGTTTATTAAATACTTTATATTTCCAGAGTCTTTAGGCTCTTAATTGCAGTGTAAACAAGGATTTTGGAAGGGTGGAGCTATATCATTTCTACTTATTTGTGAATAAGTAGAGTTTTTCAAAATGTATTTCCTAACTTCAATGGTAAATGACTTAGTTTTATTCAACCAAAATAAATAAAGACATGTATTTTCAATTTAGCATACAGTGGGAAAGCCAGAAGAATCTAAATCTTTAGTCAGTTATAAGTTAATCTTAGGAGCCAGAGGCCTGAAATATTTCCAGGGAACTGAACAGCAAACTGTGTAGCACTGGTTATTCACATAAAAAATCAGACTGCCATGAGAGATTTTCATATGGCTTTTTAAGAAGCAAGCTTTTATGTATAAAAAAATGACAGCCAAGACCTGGAATACTTGTGTAGACTGTTTTTAAAATGATTGAGAGGTGACTCGATATTTTCCAACACCAGTTCCTCTTTCAGTTGGTATTACATATTTTTCACTGGAAGGCATTTGTAGGTGGACATGCAGTCATACTGTACAACATGGCTTCAGAAGTATATGGGCATCCCTTGGGTTTCTCAGAAATGAGTAGTAAGGACAGCCCACGGTTCCTTTCTAAACTTCTGGGTTTCCTAGACAGAGGAATCAAAAAATACTCCTGGGAAATAGTAATTCTATCCCAGGAGCCAAGAACCATTTCAGCATCTAGTGAGATTACAGTTTTCTCGATTCGGTTCAAATTCTGTCGCGCTGTGATGGTAGTTCAGGCTCCCCCATTCATCTGAACTGACTGTCTCTTGACCTGTCCTGACCGGAAAGGTTCGAAGGTTTGCTCTCCAGGCAGGGAATATCCAGCACAGGGACTAGTTTGCACTACACCAATGCTCCTTCTACATGTATTTGTCTGGAGACACATCTACCTGTATAGAGACCTGGACCTGCAAGCTGAAGCACAGTTCTTCAAGCTAATGTAGATGTGACGGGTGATGAAACACTTGGATCCAGTCCACACCTCAAACACAGTTTAGTCCTGAACTATTTAGCTGCTGATTTTACAAGGCAATATCCAGACCCACCCATTTATAAACGCTTCCTCCACTTGAGAGCTCCAGTTGATGTAGCTTTCAGCTGGAGGATATACTAAACTGCTTAATGGTAATGCAATATCTCTCCAGCATCCGGGGTCCATCCTGTACTCCTCTATGTTTTGCTCTTCAAAACTCAGACAAGTCAAGAAAAAAATCAAATATAATTTATATAGATGTTTTCTGAAACATTTTTAAAAACAGCTTCAGGAAATGAATAACAGAATATAAACAAGCCAGGTAATAAAACAAGTTTAACATTTTAAGGGATGGCAATTATATTCTTTGCATGCAAAGCTAATTATTGTATTGTACATCCTTCTAGTTTCTAGTACAAGATAGGAAGCTTTTAGAAATCACTTTTCACAAATGGATATCTGATAATTAAGTTTGCCTTATCATTATAATATGAAACATTTAAATTTTAAGTTCATTGCTCCGAGAAATTGTCAGTTCTACCTTATTCAGGGATAACACTTGAGCTTTTAGAAGGTGACGTGTGGAGCTCAAAATGTACAGCTGGAAATTTAGTTTGAAGTTTAGTCTCTGGCAAATTATCCCTTCAGTGGCAATCCAAGTGTTCTTACAAAGTATGTTCCAAAGACATCACATAAAGGACAGCTGTATAGCTCCCACGTGCCCTAGCTTCTGCCATAAGCACTTATTTACAGATACTAGTCTACTAATATAAATGTACTGACAACCAGAACATAGTAATATGTCTTTGAATACAAGCAATTAAACCTTTTTTTTTTTTTGTATTTATATGTGAAAAATACTGTAAAAGTTGCTACACTGTAAGAACTTCTCATAACAAAATTATGGTCTTGAAAAAGTAGTGTGTTTCGGGAAAGAATTTTTAGTTACTGACATCATTCCTGTCCGCTGAGGACAGAAACTGTCCAAAGACAACCAACATACAAATTATATGGTATCACATTTTTATATATTTGGAACTCTAGTCCTACACTTCTGAAAGTAATGAGGGTTTTGCAACTGCCTTCAGTAAAAATGAAGTCCACGCCTGAATGAGGAAAGGTTATTTTAGTAATATGAAGAATCTTAATCTATATCATATATTCATGCACTGAATATCACCTTCGGTTCTTGTCATTTTATGTACAGTAGAAGCTTTTACTAATTCATCCCAGGCTGATTGTTGTGCTTTTTAAAACTTTTGGATGCTGGTGTGATTAAAACTCAGTGAAGTTAATGTATATTGTACTCAATTTTAATAAATATCAGATCCAAATATTTTAATAATTTTTTAGTTAATGTTAGAGGACTTATAGGTGGAAAAATAAATTTGAAAGAGTGGCTAGGATGTTTTTTAAATTCACAAACCAAACTTTTGTAATAGTAGGACAACAGAATATGCTCTGTACGGACTAATGTCAATTCAAAAGTAGGATTAAAAGAAGCAAACACCTTTGAAAGGTTTAGGTCTCCTGCACCCATATATAGATAACTCAAAAAGCAATCTTGTTTCCAGGGTTCGCTAAGCATCAAACAGCAGTAGCAGACACCAGTGGGATCTGTGAGATGCTCAACACTTTGGAAGTTTCAGTTGAGGCACCTAAAGACAAATTGGAGGCCTCATCTGCATGCAGATATTGTTAAGAATATGGCCAAATCTATAATGAATTATTACTGTGTCACTAATTGTAGTAAAAAGCTCCAGTACACATCACTGTGGCCTCTCTAGAGTTTATGGTAAAGTTTTATAGTAGTAACTATAAAATAGTGCTCTTTATGTAGGTTAAAAGGATTAAATGTAGTACCAAACATATACTTCTTTCCATGGCTTGCCATATGCCTTTCAAATAAGAGCCAACTATTTTTTTGCGTTACGTAGGTATCTTTATATTCTAAGAAGGACTGAAAGAGGTTTTGCTTAACACTGGATTTTGACAGAGAAACCTACGTGCCAGGCATGAAAACACTTACATTTGTGATGAATGTTAAACATCACAGAATCACAGAATTGTTGAGTTTGGAGGTCACCTCTTGTCTAGTCCACTCCCCTGCTAAAGCAAGGTCAGCTAGATCAAGTTGCTTCGGGCTGTGTCCAGTCAACTTTTTAATATCTCCAAGGATGGAGTCTCCACAACCTTTGTGGGCAAACCATATTTTATCTCTGGGCAAGCATATCTCACTGTGTTTGCAACACCGTGCTTGAGATTAAGATATATATGTTAAAAAAGCTAATATATAGGTATATATCTTTCATCTGAGAGCAACATCATGCAGTCGACCATCACGCTGGGGAGATACTGGCAATACTTGCAGAGAGATCTTTCCCAGATGAGTTCAAATATAGCTTCAGAAATATTTGTTAAAAACTTCACTGGTAAGAAGACTCTTCTATCCAGAGAAGTCCACTTCTGTTAGATGCCCATATAGAGACTTTATTAGTGTCTATAAGTTTTTCCTACCAATTATTCATTTAGCATTTCACATTCTATTAAAAAAA